TTTTTTTTTTTTTTAATGTGCTTGTACAGATAATGGCAAAGATGTTGATGATGATATCACAGATGCCTCTGAGAACAGCTTTGAAACCACCATGACATTTTCTGAAGAAGCAGAATGTGATAACAATCTCAGTGAAAATCTCTGTTCAGCTGTAGGTAAGACTTTGCAACTTAAAACAGTTTGTGGCGAGAATTCTCCATTTCCTTAGACTCCCAAAGGACGCAGATGCGATATGCCACAAAGGAAGGTACTGAGGAACTAGATGAATCTCTGACTTGATTTCACTGTCTTGTTTTAATGGCTCTCATACTGAGCATTGCAAATGTTAGGGCTTCCCCCCAACGTTTCTAGTGCAGATTTGCTCTGCCAGCATATAATCAGAAAGGTCTCCAAACACCAGAGTGTTGTTGATGCATCTCATCTCTGATATAACTAGTTCACGTGAATTGATATTAGCCCGTTTAGAGAGCTGAATGTGGCTGCAAAGGGTCTGTAGAGTGGCTGTCCTGTCTCATATGGCAAATTTTGTTCCACCAGTGGTTTCTAGTTCCTGTTCCATAAGAGCAAACCCCCTGACAAGACCACAATTTAAGATAACGTTAACTTCAGAAGTCTGTAGAGCAGAAGACGGTGCATATATTTGGGGGAAAATAAGCCCTTGTGTTTCTTTCTGAGTTGAAAATGACCAGTTGAGGTGAGAGCTGTCAGCCAAGACCTTGAAATCTTTGGAAGCACACTTGAGTGGTAACAAAAGTGTGCCATCAAAGCTACACAAAACTCTTGTCTGGTGTGTACATCTTGTTAAAAGATTTATCTCAGAGAATACTTTGTGTGGGGACTGTGGGAACTCTACCTTGATCCTTTTAGATAGCAACTGTATGGGGTGCAATATATTTCATGCATTTCCGTTGCAGCACTCCTCACAAAAACATGGTTCTCTCCTAGGAGGGATCGAGCAGCCTTCACCTGTTTATGAACCAAAGAAGGCTCGGAGCTACCAGATTGAACTTGCGCAGCCTGCTATCAGTGGGAAAAACACAGTGATATGTGCCCCCACAGGTAAGAAAACACATGTTTCTTAGAAAAATTGGTGGAGAGGGCTGTGAAGAATGGGGAAGGGTAATGGTTGAGTCAAACTTTTCTAGCTGTTTATTTAAAAGCAGTCTTCCCTGCAGGAGTAATCCAGCTCTAACCTGAAATTAATGACCAAGGGCAGCACAGAGACTGAGCAAGACAGATGAGTCTCCTGGCATTTCAGTGCTTGTTTTCAGATTTCCATGTTCTGACCTCTGCTTTCTCACTTCCCAGAGGAGATTTTTGAGTGCAAAGTTGGGCCTGCAAGTTGAAGGAAAAGTAGGATGAGTTGCCCAGAGACTCCCTTGTCTTCTGTACTGCAACGCCCGCAACATCAAAACGGCACAGGGAACTTCTGTTGTAGCTCAGGACAGAGTTAGGATGATTGCAGTTCAGCAGCGAAAGAGACGAATGGTCTTCCTCTCCAGCTGTGTTTTCCATGTTGCCAGCAGTTGGGGTAGCAGAGGCAGGGACACCCAGGAGCTCCGGGTGGCCTTGAACAGCCAGCCTGAGCGCTGCAGGAAAAGAAATGTGAGAGGAGCAAGGCTGCATGGGCAAGGATGGAACTGAGAGTGCCCGGTGCCTGTATCATTGTCTGATTTGATGTGGGATTTGCACACTCTCAGAGCAGAAATAGACTCAATGATTTCAAAGAACGCAAACAAAATGGAAAATGGATTTTCCTTCTCGGTGACTGCCATATGATCTTTGCAGACTGAGACAGCAAGGGAGAAAAGGATGATTACCCACCCGAATAAGCAGCAAACGTGTTCAAATCTGTCCCCAGAGAGTCCAAAGTGTTACATACCCCTTGTCAGCTCCCCGTTGTTACAGGACATCCAGATGACACAGGCTTCTGCTCACAAAGATCTAATGCTCTGACTTTCATGTTCTTTGTTTAAAGGATCTGGAAAAACTTTTGTGGCACTTCTGATTTGTGAACACCACTTGCAAAACATGCCTGCAGGACGGAAGGGGAAAGTTGTCTTTCTTGCAACTAAAGTGCCAGTGTATGAACAACAGAAAACTGTATTCAAGCAGCACTTTGAAAGAAGGGGGTAAGTGTAATTCAACCTGGTGGCTTCCTCCACAGAAAGTAAGCTGCCCTCTAGGTCAGCTGTGGCTAGGGGAAAATGTAATGGGTTTACTGGTGACAAGAGTGTTTGGCATTAACATAAGGGTGATGCCTAGTGATAAAAATGGCAAGTTACCAGGGTAGACTGTCTGGAGAGTCTGGAGTCTGCTTTTGGAGAATTTAAACACTGGTTGTGCAGCATTGATGGAGATGGCCAAAGTATACCTGTGCTTGCCTCTCAAAAAGGGTGAAGGGTGTTCTCTCTTGAGACTCCTTTCAGCCCTGCTTCCAAAAGACGAGGCAGTTCCAGGCAGCAGCAAGTGGGATTCCTCTTGCCATTCTCAAATGGCAGAGTCTCTTTTTTTTTTCCAAATGGAAGGACCCAAACTTCCTTGGTTTTTCAACGTCCAGTCAGACAATGACAGTCCACTTCTCAGATGGAACTGAAAATTGCTTAGGGGAGTATCAACAACATACAGTTTCTGATAGCAACTGATTACTGAATATCCACATATGAATCCTTATAATTATGGAAAAATGAGGTTGCTGGACAGAAAGCAGTTCCGTGTTGCCAGACATATACAGAAAAGGGATGAAGGGCACGATCTCCAAATACTGTGAACTGACAGATGCAGCTTAAATGTACAAAATCACCACCCTTCAAATCTAATATATTTTAGTTAATTGGCAATGAAAATCCAGTTGTTTACCCTCAGCAGTTTGTTTTTTTTCAGCTGCTGTGGGTGAAGGTTCCAGCCATTTTGAACTTAATCACTACCCTTCAGGCTTGCTCAAAAGTCCATCTTTCTAACTTTCTTTTGCATGGCAAGACATCCTTTTTCATACCCTATTTTTTGCCTCTTCTTCGTAGATATTCTGTTCAAGGAATTAGTGGTGAAACAGCTGCAAATGTCTCTGTAGAAAAGGTTATACAGGACAGTGACATCATTGTGCTGACACCTCAGATTCTTGTGAATAGCATCGAGGAAGGGATCCTTAGCTCCCTCTCCATCTTCACTCTGATGATATTTGATGAGTGCCACAACACTACGGGCAACCACCCTTACAATGTGTTAATGACCAGATACCTGGAACAAAAATTTGACTCCTCTGCAAACCAGCTGCCTCAGGTAAGACCCAGCCTGTCACTGGTGGAAACATTAGAGAAAAGTATTTTGCAGTGCAGTCGCCAAAGCCTGAACTCCTGCCTTTTGCATTAATCCAGTTCAAACTCCCATTTAACAATGGCTGCAAATTGAAACGGTAGCATCTGGAACACTTTTTCCCCTCTCCTTGGACACCTCCAGGCTGTTTTCCCATGTTACATCTTCTCTCCAGCTGCCAAGAAGGACTGATCAAGCATGACAGAGACCAGAGTACTTGAGAGCACACAGGATTGCTGGGCTGGGAAGAAAGCATGTGCCCCAGAATTTAGTGATGTTCTTGTCACCTCTCTGTTGCTGTCTTCTGCAACTATAAAATGGGTCTGCTGCCTCCGCTGGCAGGAGGTTTTGGTCCAGCTGAGAAGACATCTCCTCTGAATGAACGCGGAGGACCGTTCTGGGGGTGGATTTGCTCTTTCTGTGTATGATGAGCACTGGCAAATACAGCTGGTTATGGATTTTAGTGGGTGGATAATGTATTTCCAGTATGAATACTCTAAGCTTGAATGCCTTGGAGAAGGCATGAGTGAGGACAAGGTTTGGCTCTCATGATTTAGTCATTGCACTCATGCCTGTTGTGTTTCCTTGTTTTTGAGGACAGCGACAACTTGGAGATCCTAGCAATGACTCCTGATCATTTTTTTTTCATTTGTGACAAAGGAACAACCACTGCTATTCATGTGTGTGCTCAGATTATAGGTTTAACTGCTTCTGTTGGAGTTGGTAATGCCAAGAACGTCAAGGAAACAATTGAGCACATCTGTACCCTCTGTTCCTACCTCGACATACAGGCCATATCCACTGTCAGAGAGAACAAAGAGGAACTGGAGAGATTCAGCAACAAGCCAGATACACTTAAGCACTCTTTGTTTTTATTTTCCCATGAGATGCAAAGCACCATAACTAAGGCAACAATACAATTCCCCTTTGGTCAGGTGAAGCTAAAAGCTTAAAACTAAGCTGGAGCTTTGCTTCCTGCTAGCTTGAAAGGAGTTTAAGCGTGTGCTTCACTGTTGTCCCACAGTAAGGCAGTGCACATTTGGGCAAATTTTCTCTTTGCTGAGATCCACAATCTCTAGTTTTCGTTCAGCTCTGCCAGTCAAGATTGGGGGCTGTGTCTTTCTTTCTCTGCAACTGTAATGCTCATTAACAGTAAACACTATAATAATTGCATAGACCACCGCATGTATCATTCTTCTAGACAAGAATTTGTTGTGCGCTGCTCAGGGAAATGTTTTTACTTATTCAAGGCACTGACTTCCGTTTCTTGTCTCTAGATGTCAGATGGGTTAAAATGCGAGTTCAGAATCACTTTGCAGACATTATCTCAGGTCTGATGTCTGAGACAGAAGTGTTGATGAGGAAGATTTACACAGTGGGTAAGATACTGTAATATGCCTGTACCTGGGATTCAGTCTTTGATTACATCACTGTGAATCCTCATGGCTGCTGGAACAGTCACTCTTTTTCCCCTTCCGTTCTCCTCCGTTTTTACTTGCCTTTAACCAATATTTCCTAAATAAGAGGTTAAAGATAGAAGAGTCAACTATTTTCCTGTTATATGTGATTAGTTTGATAATCATAAATATTTTTTCTTGGATTTCTACCTGTGTTTCGTGCAGCTAAGGATGGTGTGCTTTTGACACTGTCAGATCACTTTGAATGTTTAAAGAATCTGAAACAAGACTACCAAAAGGCTTCCTTTCAAAATGCAATGAGCTGGATTTCATTGATGAGAGACCTCTGTGTTTGTATTTAAGCATTTCTCCAAATGCTTCATACCTAAATATGTCCCTGTTTAGGAAAACAAAAAGGACCTCTGTTAACAGTGTTACTCTGAATGTTGTGATTTCTTCCTTTCAGCAAAAGCTTCCTTTCACTCTTGCTGCTCTGACACTTCTCATATTTTCTCTGGTCTCTCTGAGTTGCACTTGGAGTTATTTCTAGGGGTGCCCTGACGACCTTTTCTGGACAGCATGTTGTCCTCTATACCTGTGGGTACCTCTGTTTCCACTGGTTACCAGGTCTTTGTTATTTCCTACTGAAAAGCATTTAAGGTAATTTTACAGAGAAGGATCTGTTGAACATGAACACCACCAGAGAAAGGATATGGCTGCCTAAGAAAGGCAACACTTGTCTGTAGGATTCCAGCCTCAGGAGCTGCGGGTGTGCCAAGAGGGAGGTGCATGGCCATGAGAAGGGAACAGGTCTCACCATCATGAGACCTAATTCTGCAGAAATCAATTGATCTTTTCTGCTTTTGCAGAGTTCCTAAGTAGTGTCCAGTAAGTGGCTGTTATCGATACATTTGAGAGCTGCAGGGCACAGAGCAGAGACCCAGGGATGGTTATCAAGGATCAGCCTTGGTCTATCCAGCTCCGAATTACAGGAATTTTTTTCTCTGCTTATATTGGCGTTTCCAAATTGACTAGAGTGCCTTAAGTTTGTTCACCTCTTTGCTATACTTTCTAGATTACACACACACACACACTTTCCAGACAGTGGAGAGTGAATTATATTCTGGGGCAGGGAGAGAGAATTAAAAAAAAACGACCAAACAAAAAAAAACTCCAGCCAACCAAATAAAACCCAAACCGAAACCCAAGAAATGCCAACAAAGAACAAATACAGTGGGATTTTCAAACTGCACACTAAATTAAGCAAACACTTCTGAAGCCTGTTTCTGCATCACTGTTCCTCTTGCATGAATGCCAATGGCTTCCCTTGTGTGGACCCTCTGATTACTGAAGTTTGTGAAGTACTGAGACAGAGTATGTATGTGACAAAGAGGTACCGACCAGTTCTGCCTCAAGAACAGGCCATTGGATAACATGCCTCTAAGGACCACGGACCGTTTAGCAAATGGTTACTTAATTATCGAGTAGCTGGTAATTCAAGGAGCAACACACATGCAGCGTCTTGAATACTGGAGGCTTCTGGTAGGGTACCGAGCTCCAGTTTTATTGATAAAGACTCTGCAGATGTTTGTATGTACACAGATCCTGAGTTCAATTGTACTGACATAGCCTAACGTCTGGATATATATTGAAACACAGGGAGTGAAGAAGACATACCCAGACTCCTCTCAGATGGTTCCCAGTGATGGGACAAGAGGTAGTGGGCTCAAACAGAAATACTTAATAGGAAGAAATTCTTTGCTGTAAGAGTGGTCAAACACTGGAACAGATTGACCAGAGGAGTTGTGGAGTCTCCATCCTTAGAAGTACTCCAAATCCATTTGGACATGATCCTGAGTGACCAGCTCTAGGTGACCCTGCTTTGAGCAGAGCGTTGGACTAAAGACCTCCACGGGTTCCTTCTAGCCTCAGTGATTCTGTGATTATATCATACGGTGTTCTTCTGCATAGGCTTTTTAGACCTAACATTCATGGAAAATGTGTTATTTTCTAGCTAACTGTTCTGGTTATTTGTAAGTTAAGATGAAAACATGTTTGTTTTCCTCCTTCTTTACTAGATACTATCTCCCAAATCAACAAGAATGATTTTGGAACACAGAGATATGAACACTGGATAGTTGCAACTCAGAAGAAATGCAGACTGTTGCAACTGACAGATAAGGAGAAGGAGAGCAGCATTTGTAGGGACCTTTTCATTTGCACCGAACACCTGCGGGTAAGTCTATATCCTCTCTCCTTCCATACAGAGGTGGAGCTGTCCGGTTCCTTTTGACACAGGTGTATTCACCTAGGAAGCAAGTTTTGAACATAATAATTTTATTTGACACAGGTTAAAGCATAGTGTGTAGGAGTTGTGTCTTAAGGTACTCACTAAGAACAGTGTAGTGCAAAGGAGACTTTGTAGTGATTGTGTTGTCACACAAATGGAATAACAACACAAGTTTGTAATACTTAATCTAGGTAAATAAAATCTGTGCTCATCCTCTGCCCCATGGAAAATGAGGTTTAAACGTGTATGTCTCTTTCTGAGCAGAAATTCAATGATGCTCTCATCATCAGCGAAGATGCCCGCCTTGAAGATGCTTTAGCCTACCTCACTGAATTTTTCACAAATGTCAAAAATGGACCGTATACAGAGTTAGAGAAGAAACTGACAGCCAAATTTCAAGGTATTTCACACAGTTGCAGGGGAAAAGAGGGTTTATGGTAGGATGATCGAAGTCTTCAGAGTGAGTGCAGTTGTTTTTCCAGAAACACGCTTTTCAGAAGATCTAGTGTCTCTGTGGGTGCAAATGTAGTGCTGGGGTAGGCAGGGGGGAACTTCAAGCTTCTAGTGCAGGAACTAAGGAAGGAGTAATATTATACCTAGATGCTGTAGTAGGTTCTTACATGCCTGTCTTGGAGATAAAGCAGTGGTGTCCTTCAGTAGGGGGATGGCCTACAATCATGGCTGCTGGCAGCTTTAGGTACGGCAACATAGTGCACTGCCCAGCCTCCTCCTGCCCAGTCCTCCTGGACAAATCCCAAACTTCTGGGAAGAAGCAGGCATCCCTTCCAAACTTCTGATTTAGTAGCAGTGTGCTGTAAGCCAGCCTGTGGTCTGGTGTGCTCCAATTTTACATCACTGGGTGTCTGCCCTCTAGTGTCAGTTGTCTCCTAAGAAGCAAGAGCACCGTTTTTTGCAAGAACTGAGCTTGTTTTGTTTTGTCTTGTGATACACAGTATGTCACAGAGGTTCTCCTTTCAGTTTGCTACAAAGTGGGAGAGATTCAGGTTTTGTTTTGTTTTTTTTTTCCCCCTGGAGATTTTGTTGCATTTAACTGATAGCTTTCTTTGCTTCCATTTGAAAGAATGGTATAGAAAATAAAAATAGACGCTAAAGAGAATGTGGGTGGCATTTGAAAGTCGGTTTGGGTGAGAACTGCATTAAAGAAGGTAAATTATTCAAGACACTGCTGTTTTCTTCCAGAGAAAGAACCAGAACTGACTGCCCTTTCAAAAGACGAATCAAATGAGAATCCCAAGCTGGAAGAGCTTGCTTGCATCCTGGATGAAGCATACCGCTATAACCCTGAGACTCGCACTCTTCTCTTTGCTAAGACAAGAGCCTTAGTAGCTGTAAGACATTTCTTTTTAAAGCTCCTAACGTGGAAAGTGAGAAAATACAATGCCTTATCTATTACCCTTCACATTTTGATCTGGAAATAGAAAAATATGCATGTATTTGACCTTCCTAAGAAAATACTTATCTTTCTGTGTCTTCCTAAGCACTGAGACAGATGAGACAGGATGAGGGTTTTTTTGTCTTTTTCTTAAAACTACCTTATAGGGGTGGCGTCCTTCATAGCTTCTTCTTGCTACATGTCATAGCTGATCATTAAGCCATCAGATTTTTACTTTAGGTCTGAAGTCAGTTTTAACAAGATGTGTTCCAAGGTTTTTGGTAATGTGGTAGTGTTACAAACTAGCAGCTCTGCTCCATTACTGACTGCACGGAGCTATTCAGAGTTTTCCCAGAGGTTTGCTGTGGGCCCAAAGGAGCTCTGTTCCCTAGCATGTGTTCTTGATCAAGAAAAAGGAAACTCTTTGTGCAGCATATGCTCTCTGGACCCTTCTGATGCACGAGTCTATTTCATACTTGCCTAGGATCAAGGATCTAGGCTGGATGATCTTTTCTCTCCCTTCCCATACCTTGTTCCCAGAAAAAGCCCATGCCTGACGTAAGTGTGCTGCTAATCATTAGCCTCAGTAGCTCTTAAACATTTACTGTGAGGTAACACAGTCTCTGGCTACTGTAAACAGATTTATCAGCTGAGAGTCCCAAGCCACATTTTATCCTTGGGTGTAGAAATGCTGGAAGAATTGCAAACCAGAAAAAAAAAAATTAAAGGCAGACTAAAGTCCAAACTGACAACAACAAGCATTTGCTGGCGATTTTCCATTATAGGTGTAGAAGCCTACCATAGCTTGGCTGAACTTTGTTCTTAGGTAAGAGCAGTTTGAGGGTGCTGCTTTCACTGTGCAGTGATGAAGTGCAGTTTGTAAATAGCAGCTCATTCCCTTTAGATGCCAGAGGTGCAGCATTTGATTTACAAGAGAAAAAGGCATACTTTTTAGCAGGGAAAGGCTGCTTGCCCTTAGCCAGCCTTTAAGTTGCAGGGGTGGGAAAAGTGGAAATCATTGTGGCCTGGTTGGATCTGGCATCATGGCTGTGACCTGTGCTTTCTTACCTGTTAATAGATGTTCCCTCCCAAGGCACACTTCCACCTTCCTTTCTGCTTTTGGTTCTTAGAAATACTAATTGTCTAGGCAATCACGGGCAGGATCTACCTATCTATCCCAAACTAGCATTTCATCAGGACAGAGGTCTAACTCCCTGATTTGCTTTCCAGGCTTTGAAGAAGTGGGTAGAAGTAAACCCTCTACTTAGCCACATAAAGCCGGATGTGTTGATGGGTCGTGGAAGGAGAGATCAAAAAACAAGTACGCAGGTTTGCACTGAGGAATACCACTTGCTAGACCTGTGGTGGTTATGCTGCCAAAATTGCTCAGCTTTTCCTGTGTTCCTCTTCTGCGCTCTTGAACAGAGGAAGGCCATGCAAGTTTGCACTATGCTTTCT